ATACAAAATTCACAATCTTGCCATTATCATCTAATATTAATATTCCATCTAATGAATGAATCCGCCTTCAATTTTGATCTACTAATCTTATTTCTGTATTATATTAGTCTGTTCAATATTAAATATCAGATTCAAACTTGACAATTATGCAAAGATCATCCAGATGCATACTATTATACATATCTTTTTTATTATTTGCCATTCTTTATCATGAATATGTTTGTTTTATTGTAGCAAATGACAAACATAAAATTCTAATTAGAGAAAGTGTAACTATTATATCTATTAGCATACGTAATAAGAAAAGTTTGGTTAGAATAAATTCAACACTAGCAGCAAATGATTATGACTTTACAGAATTCCTTATCCCTTCAATTATTTTTTTTATTGATATTCCAACAACTATTGAAGAATCTTTTTAACATGGAAATGTTTTTGTTTTATATAAAGACACTATTTTTTAATCTAGTAATGCAATTAAATATGCAACTGAATTTTTTAATGCAATTCAAATGTATTATAATTTTAATATTCTACCCAAATACAAATTCAAATTTATATTTGATTTGATTCAATCAAATTCAAATCAAAAAATGATTTATTTGATCAAATCTAAATTAATGTTTGATTCAATTCGATCAAATTCAAATCAAGTATTCAAATATTTGATTTGATTTGAATCAATAGTAAAGCCATCTCCAAAGCTTCAGAAGTAGCTTTTACTAAAAAAACTATAGTAAAAAATGCTTCTGCTGCTTTAGAAATGCTTTTTTTACTAAGAAATCTATAGTAAAAAGTGCTTCTGTGACTTCAGAAATGCTTTTTTACTAAGAAAATTATAGTAAAAATGACTTCACTACTTCAGAAACGTTTTTTACTAAGAAATCTAGTAAAAAAATGCGTCTGTAGCTTCAGAAACATTTTTTTACTAATAAAATTATTACGAAGCCAAGATAGTTATTACTTAGTAAAACCAAAGCTGTGATAATGGTTATTACTAAGTTTTCTTAGTAAAACTAAAACTACGATGGTAGTTATTACTAAGTTTTCTTAGTAAAACCAAAGCTGCAATAGCAGTTATTACTAAGTTTTCTTAATAAACCAAAGCTGCAATAGCGGTTATTACTAAGTTTTCTTAGTAAAACTGAAACTGTGAAGTTATTTTACTAAGTTTAATAGTAAAAATTCACCTGTTACTAAACTTACTTTGTAAAAGCTATTTTTGAAATTTTTTAATGCAATTACTAATAATTTTTTAATTAAAATTTTAGAATAACTTATTTTAATATATCATTATAAAAATCAAAAAATTTTTTATATTCAATTTGATTTGATTTGATTTAATTTGACAAATATTTGATTCATTTTAATTCAATTTGATCAAATTCAAATTGATTTGATTTGATTTTGGAAAACCCTAATTTTAATAAATTTTTCTTTATTTATGGTAATATTATTCTCAAAAAATATATTTGATTATTTTATTTAAAAATGTTCATAAAATGTGATTAATCAAAGTATTATATTTTGATCATTATATTTTTTTTATTATTAAAACCTTTTTAAAAAGATTGAAATACAATATTTAGATAGAGAATACTTTGAAAAAGATTTTAGTTAAAATAATAAAAAATGTTAATATTATTTAATTATTATAAAAATAATATTTTGAAAAAAAGAAAAAATATTTAAAAGTATCTATTGAATTATGAATAATAGGTATTTTAATCTTTATAATTGTTATGATTTATATTATTAAAAGGATTAAAAAGAAAAAAATAGATTATTATCTAATAATAGGATTATTTTTTTCAATAGTTTTTGCTTTTTGTTAGATAATAATACACCTTTATTAAGTTTATTTTATTTTATTTTTTTAACGTTTAATATTTTTCTTTCTTCTTGATAAATTTCATAGGTAATTCTTTTTTTGTTTAAATATGTTTGCAAAAATTTAGTATTTACTAATTTAAAAATGTAAAAAGCAATTTTTTCTTTTTTAAATACTTCTAATTATAATATAATTCTTAGGTTTCATAGTAGATCTAATATAAATTAATTTTATATTATAAATTTTTGTCTAGAAAAATATCATGATTATATTAATTATGATGTTAGATAAATATTATTAACCTTTGAAATTCTTGGTATATAATACTAATATTTACTTTATTTAGTTTTATTACATATATTTATATACTTTTTACACAAATTAAAGTAGATAAAATTAAAAAAATTAAGAATAAATAATAAATAAAGATTTGATATTTTTTTAGTAATTAAAATAATAATATATTAATTAACTATATAATTATAATATGATAGTTTTAATAGTATAAATAACACCAATTTTTTTTTGATAAATATTATAAATTTTATAAATTGCTACCAAAATTAGTTTGTACTTTATTTACTATTGAAAACAAATTATTATTAACATTTAAAGAATTTTATTTACTAAAGAATATTAATAATACTAAATATTTTGAAATTAAAAAAATAAATATAAAATATCTTTGATATTAAACAAATTATCTTTAAAATGACTTTAATTTCAATATACTAATATTTACATAATGCCGAAATCCCAAACCCCTCCGTATAATTACTAAATGGAGATTCAAATCCTTTTGACAATATACACCGCAGCAAACCAATTGATTATACAGATATGGCGAAAAGATAAAGAAAGTGCTGGAAACAATTAGAATATTCATGTTTGACATCCATATAAAAATATCAAAAAAATTTTTTTTCTCTCTTTTTTTTTCTAATAAAACAAAAAGTTTCTAAATATTTTTTTCATAATATATATATATTTTTTTTAAAAATAACCAGCTTTCTCAATTAATTATACAGAATGGTAAAGACCACTAAACTTTATGATATTTTGGAGGTTCCTCCTAGTGCCTCAGACGCAGAAATAAAGAAGGCTTATAGGAAGCTGGCACTCAAATATCATCCCGACAAGGTATATTTTTTTTTACTTTAATTAATAAATAGATTAAGCAGTTCGATATATTCTAGAATTTATGTAAACTTATTTTACGAACTTTATTTTGGTGAATTGAGTAATTTAACATCGTAATTTCGAAGTCGAATAGAGAAGATCTACTTTAGTTACTTAATTAACCATATTAAACACTTTTACAGAATCCGGATACAGGTGATAAATTTAAAGAGATTGGACATGCATTTGAAATTCTTTCTGACAGAGACAAGCGAGAAATTTACGATCAATATGGAGAAGAAGGTTTATCAAATGATGGAGGAATGGGTGGAATGTCAGCCGAAGACCTTTTCTCAAGCTTTTTCGGTGGAAATGTATTTGGCGGTGGGAGAAGTGCACGCCAGGGACCACGAAAAGGCAAAAATTTAAAACATGTACTCAAAGTTTCTTTAGAAGATTTATATAGTGGAAAGACTAGCAAATTATCTTTGAACAAAAATGTAATTTGCTCAAAATGTGAGGGTAGAGGTGGTAAAGAAGGTTCTGTCAAAAAGTGTTCATCTTGTGATGGTACTGGTGTAAAAGTTATCATGAGAACCTTGGGTCCTATGGTACAGCAAATTCAACAGCCCTGTTCTTCATGTGGAGGTGAAGGAGAAGTTATTCGTGAAAAAGACAAGTGTAAAGGCTGTCAAGGTAAAAAAATTATTAATGAACGTAAAGTACTTGAAGTCCATATCGATAAAGGTATGAGGAATGGACAAGAAATTACATTCACTGGTGAAGCAGATCAAAGTCCTGGCATTGAACCTGGTGATGTGATAATTCAAATTGAAGAAAAACCGCATGATCGCTTCCAACGTCGAGGGGATGATCTATATTTTACAGCCAAGATAGACCTTCTAACAGCGTTGGCAGGTGGTCAATTTATGGTTAAACATCTTGATGAAAGGTATTTGGTGGTCAATATTGAACCTGGTGAAGTTATAAAACCTGGTGAGTTAATTTGAATTCAATTATTATATTACATAATTTATTTTCAACAAGGACAAATAATAATAATTTGTTTAATAGGACAATTAAAATCTATTCCTCAACATGGAATGCCATCATATCGTCATCACGACTATGGGACACTCTTTGTACAATTTGAGATAGAATTCCCGCCTTCTAATTGGATTGATAAACAAACTATCTTGACACTTGAGAATATTTTACCTCAGCGTCCTGTGTTGCCAATTCCTCCAGAAGCTGTCACAGAAGAAGTTGAATTAATGGCAATGAACGATGAACAACAACGTTCAGCATCAACTCATATGAATGGTGCTGAAGATGAAGAGGAGGGTCATGGCCCAAGCGTTCAATGTGCTCAACAATAAAGTCATAAAGCATTGATGATGGAGATTTATGGTTTAAAAGCTTGGATTCACTTTTCATTTAATGAACATTATTTTTATTGTCTAATATGCACTTTATAGAAACATTTATTTTGTTTTTATCAATTATCTTGTTTTCATGTGCTTATTTCTAGCATTAAGAAACGATAATGTGATTTAAAAACAAAGTCTTAATTTCATGCTTTGATATTGTTGTAGTGTTTAAATGTGAAACGTGAACAAAAAAAAAAAAAAGAAAAAAATGCTTGTGTGCGCATAATATTCGTCTTATTGTTTATTGGCAAAGCTTTATTATGAAAGAGATACCATAAAACCATTTATATATATATACATACAAATTTAACTTTTGATGCTTTATTTATTATTTTTATAACCATTATTATAAATTATGGAGTTTTGAATATAAATAATATAAATACAAAATTTCGTAGTAATTATTAGTATTATAGTTGTAAAAAAATTAATATATAAATGTTAGAAATATTTTTAGAAATTTCCTAGCATATATTCTTTTATTATTTCTTAATTATAAAAATAAATACTATATCAATTAACTTGAGCTAAATACCTTTTGAAATATTTTATAATATTATTTTTATCAATTAAAGAACGCTCAATTACCAATTACCTCATGCGAATTTTTGAAACTTAATTTATGCTATTTTTCTTCTTTTTGATACCAAATCCTGCTCGTTAGATTTCAATAAAGTATCAACTTCATCCAAATCGCTTTTACTTTTTGTGCTATGACTTATTGTAAAAATATAAATATTAATATGTGTGAAACATAAGAGAAAAAATGAATTATATAGATTTGTAGTTATACCTCTCGATAGCAAATGCAACTTCTTGGCTTAATCTGAAGCTAACACAAAACATGTCTTTATTTGGTGCAACTTTTCTAACAAAATGGAACTTAAATTTATCCGCTTGCATTGGATATGTTATCGTTGAATTAATACGCTAATTATTATTAAAATTTAAAAAAAGATGAGTTAAAAGATCAAGTAAAAATTTGAAAAATTTTAAAAATATCATCAATATATAAATAATTACTTCTATTATTTCTTTTTCGGGCATTTCATTTTTTGAGAAACAATGACAATGAATCATAGGTAAATCTACGCAAGGATTTTTTATATAAGATACTTTATTCTTAAAAAGTCCTTTGAAAGCATCTAAAAATAGAAATCCAAATTAGAAATGAGAAAGGTAATTACAAAGGAATCAGATTATTTTATTACCTAGAAACTCTATGGCTGTTGCAGGCAAATTCATGATAAAATGATTAAATGTTCTAAATTCAAATTCAAGTGATTGATTTGCTACTAAATCCTCTGATTTAGGTGATTTGGTTTTATCTACAGCGGTTAGACTTTTTTCCAAATCTTGAACGGCTTTTTTTATAAAATCATAACCATCAAGGTTATATGGATAAATATTATTGTTTACCTATGAATTCAAATACAAATATCAATTAACTAATATTTTTTTTTTTTCCTTTCTTGAAGAAATTATATTACTTTATTTAATGAAATATTCTCCTGAAGATGTTTATACGACACGGGATTCAAATCGTTCGCATAAACAATACATCCTTTCTTTGCAGCAGGGATTGCAAAAGGTCCCACGCCAGCAAAAACATCGCCTATAAATATATAAAACTATAAAACTTTTGCCTTGAACAAAATATATTAAATGTTAAACATTACTTACATATATAATCTCCTTTTTTAAACATCTTTACTAATCGATCATGTTCTGTATGTAACCGTGAATTCCAATATACTTGTGAGAAATCAAATCGAAATTTACAATTACTTTCTTTCTATTGTTAAAAATGAAAATGCAATTAGAAATGATTATTATTTCGTTTACATAATTACAACTTCTCATTTGCAAATATATACTTGCTACTTAAGACAGACCACTACAGCAATCATATCATTTTTTCCGGCCAAAATTTCCATATTGAAAATTCGATATGTTGAATCAATCATATCAATTTTGTTCACTACCGTCGTGATTTTTGGATTTTTCTTTAAAAATTTATTGAAAAATGACATTAAAGTTTTACAGGTTTTAAGATTGCCAAACTTATTTGATTCTGTCCTTACATCAAGAATGACTTGGCCGATAAGAAATTTCCAAGGAAGGAATTCTTCTCGTAAATTCATATGAGCTTTATTAAAAGTAGCATTGTATCATTTTCTTAATTGAGAAACTATATGTTTAATTAAACCATGCTTTGAAAAATGTAACTCACCAATATGTCCAACTTGTGTAAAAGATGATGGAGATTCAGAGCTCTCAGGTAATATAGCTTTGAGTATATCATCTTGAATTGAAATTACATTATTTGTTATAAAATTGAAAATATTCCAACAAATTTGAATGTTAATATATACCAACTCCCCAATAGTCATATTTTAATTCGACTGAATGCCTTACGACACCGAGTCCTTCTTTATTGATAAAATCTTTCATTTCATTTGGTAAATCATCAAGATCTGGACCAATTACAACGAAGAATAAGTAAATTCTTCAAGATGATGTTTTTTTTTTCTATAACGTTTTTGATAAAACAACAATACCTAAGCTTTGGAATTTTAGGTTCATTAAAATAATTTTTGACAAATTGGATCCAGGATCATCCACAACATTTCTTAGCTTTGGTTGATTGAACAATTCTCTAATTTCGATAAAAAAAAAAAAACTAAAAATAAAAAAACGCTCTAAGCTGGCACCCATACTTTTAGATCATACTTATTTAAAACTTTCAAGAACTTTGCTGTTGAGTTTGCAGGAACGCGTATTCCTATAACGCTAATTTTGTGTTGAAATAGTTCTCGGTTGAGTACTATCATACCACGTTGAATAGGAGCCGGAATCATTGTGAATTAGTAACTCGGGAAAAGTCAGAAATTGGATAAAATTGAAAATCAAGTGTCGATCTTTTTTATAAGTATTACTTTCCTCCTTTATTTTCAAATTATTAATATAATCATCTTTTTCTAATCTTTTATAATAAGTTATTCATAAACTATAATAAAGTTATTTGAATACAAAATATTACATAAGATTTATGTATAGAGTAATATATCATAATATTGTATAATTTTTACATTTTTATCAAATTATTAAATAAGTTTTGTGATATACAATATTTATGTATTTCCTATCTACAGACAAATATATAAGATTTTACAATCCATTTAATATAATATTATAGTCAAAGTATTTTGTGAGATTAATAATTCATAACATTTATGCAAAGCTATATTTAAAATATATTAACTTTAAATATATTATAATTTAAAGTATATTCATTTATTATAATTTTTATTTTATTAATTAAGTATTACATATTTATAAATAATTAAAAATCAAATATAAATTATAAATATATTATATACAAATTTAGTTTTAAATTTGATAAAGTTCATATTGTTACTTTTAATCAAAAAATATATATATACAGTTAGACATATATATAGTCACATCATATATGAGAACTTTGCAGTAGAAAGGAAGAAAACTCTAAAAAAATTTTTTTGAATTAATGTTAAATCTGGACTTATTTTACTAAAAAAATTATATTTAGGTTATAAATACAATTACTTATTTTAAAATTAATTATTAAAAATAAAATCCTATTTTTATAAAATATTAATATTTTTAATTATAATAAAATAAAAGGAAAAAATAATAAAACAAATAAAAAAAAAAATAAATAAATAATATAATAATTAATTCTTCCCAAAAAGATCGTAATAATCATAATTAGTTTTTTCTAAACTAATTCATATTTCAGCATGCTGATCAAAAAAAACAGTTTCTATTACCTAATCTGGTAAAAACTGTATTGCATTCAATTCAAGTGTTGACTTTATAATAAATCATTTATCTTCTGGCGGTCCAAATGGAAATGTAAAAGTAATAAGATTTTGAAAAGTCATTTCTTTAATTACTTATATATTTATCATAAATGGAGATTATTTTTTTGTATGAATCGTTATTGTTTTAAGTTTAGAAATAATAGCTATTTATCTTATAAAATAAAATAAAAAATGTTATTTTATAAATTTACAAATAATTTAAATTTTATAAATTTCATACTATTTTCATTTTTTTTAGTTCATTCATATTTGTGTTGTAAAATTTGTTTCGTATTTGGAAATCTATATTTATTTTTATCAAAAGTTAGGATTGAAGGTGAAGTATCTTTATTTACATTATTCATTCCACTAATCTATAAGAATATATTTTACATGAACTATTTCATATAATAATTATAAAATAATATCTGATACTGTATATATATAAAATATCATACTATTGCGCATGCTCACATTGTAACCATTTCACTAGTTAATTTAAGATGCCTTCCATCTTCTGATATTAAACATTCTTGAATATGAAATGAACATTATTTAATATTCTTATAAATATCTTCTTTTATTTGATTTAATATTAGAGTAGTTTCAGATTTTGTATTTATAATCTGTAAATTTATTTTAATAAAATTAATAAATAATATATTTTTTTTTAATAAAAAAAACTTACATTTATTTTTTATTTGAATTTAATTCTTGTTTATCAATAATTGAACTACCATATAACGTTTGTTTTCCTTTAATAAGTTTTTCTAAATAAACACATAATTGTATATTTTTTTTACATTAAGCTGCTGAAATAAAACTTAAAATAGAATCTAAAGACTTTATCTTAAAATGATCAGTTTTAATTGCTAATGATAATTGGTAACAAATTAAACTAATTTCGATTTTTCCCATATTTTTGAAAATGAATGTGATTATGAAAATATTTCTTCTTCTATTTTCTAAAATTTAAAGTTTCATCTAAATTAAATGGAATCAAAAAAGCACCTTCAAGTTTTTTACGTGATTGTTAATATTGATTATAATATAATAAAGTAATAAAAACTAAAAAAAATTTATATAAATTATTATATATTATAATTTAATAATATAAATGCTTACAGATAATTAAAATTAAACATACTTAGATTTATTTTTTCTTTAGGAATAGAGGTAGGTACAATCTTTTTAGTTAAATCAAAAATTATAAGTTTTTCTTCCAATTTTTCTGTAACTATATTATTAGCTGCTACTGCTTTTTTTTTTTAACTTCAGTTTATTTATAAAAAAAATATTACTGTAATATCAATAAATATATAATTATAAAAATAAGTATAATAAAAAAATTACCTTTTAAATAATCATATTTATTAAGACATTTTTTACAAATATTAATAACAGATTGACTTGAAGAAATTTCTAAATCTAATGAAATATTGGCCCAAAATTAAGCAACCAATTCAGAATCAAGTTTTATATTTTTTTTCTTTACTTCTTCAAATGTAAGAGATTTAGTACAAAAATTTTTGCTTTTCTACTTTAATAAATAATAGTTGGTTCACAAGAACATGAATTATTATAAAATTGACTTCATTGCAAATATATTAAGCATAAAGGACATGCATTTAGACAATAACTTAATTTTTACTTTGACATTGGAAAAAAAATAAAAACATAAAATTACGTAATACAAAATATATACAATATGTAGCTTATATAGTTTATTTTACTTTAATACAAGTGCGACTGAATGTGACTAAATGTGACTGACTGTGACTGAAAATTTTTAGGTTTGATTCAGAAATTATGAAATCAGCATTGTGTAAATTAATATGTGATTTTTGAATTGATAATGATGAAAAATAAATTAAAAAATTACAATAAATCTATGTGATTTTACTTTAGAATCGCAAAATTTAAAAGATTAATTTATTATTAAATTTTCTAAAAAATGGAAGGTGGTTAGTAAAAAAGAGGGAAATTTAAATTTTGGTCAAAATTTATATTATTGGACCACTTGGTTGATTTCGGTCATATACACAAATTTAGCTTAATAATAAATAATGATAATTTATAAAATTCATATTTACAAAAAAAAAATATATAAACAGAATAACTTTAATTTCAAAAATTAATCATTATAAATATTGATTTGAAATGTAAATTATTTCTGCTTCCAAAGCTATGAAGATTTTGTTCTATCTTTTTTACTATCCTTAATATATATATTATCTGCAATTTTATTATTTTTCTCTACTACTTCATAATTTTCTATTGTTGTTATCAATTATTGCTCATCATTAATTTTATATTACACTATTTTTCCTTTTTACTCAGATGCATAATTTTAATATGTTTTCTAATAAATGCCTTTGTTGGAAATATTTTTCACATTTTTACATACAAATTCATAGTATAATTCACATGACATACTTGGGTAATATTCATTATAACTAGAAAGCTAATTACTAAAATATTTTAGAATGTGCAATAAATTAAGAAAATACTTATTCTATTTTTATATAATAGGAGAAAGAAATTTATTATTTAGTAATTAAAAATACAAAGGGGTATTAAAGATGATAGCTTTATAAATATATTGTAACATATTACTATTATAACATATGTTACAACATAGTTGTAACATTTAAAAAAATTTATTAATTTGTTGTAATATGTATTATTTTGTTAATTAGTTATAATATTTATTTAATTTAAAAAAACCATTTTATCAAATGATAAATGAATTATTCAATTAGAATAATCCAAAACATCATTATATCAAATAATAAATAAATCATTTGATTAGAATGATCATAATATTATTCTATCAAACAATTTAAATATCGTTTAATTAAAACAACCTAAAATATTATTTCATCAAATGATAAATAAACCATTTAATTGAAATAATCATAAATATCATTCCAATTAAACAATAAATAAATTGTTTGATAAAATGGTTAAGCATTATTTAATTTTATAAATAAGTTATATACTATTATAAACTGTTTTATTTTATTATTAATTTGAATGTAAGTTTATTTTTTCAATTTATTTACCTAATATATCTTTTTACAAATTTTGTTTTACAGATTTATTTATAAATGATCTTATTAACTAAAATTACTATAATGGCTTTGCTTTTCATGTTGCAAAATAATATTAGTCATTTTACATTTGCATACTGCAAAATATCTGTTGATCTACTGTAATTTGAATAGTTTTAAGTCTTAATATTATTTCTAACTTCAATTCGCCTTTGTATGTCATATTACTTAGCTTATTTAACATGTCACTTGCAGAATAACAATTACTTCTATTAGTATTACCTGCATGAAAAAAAGCTTGTAATAAAATAACTATATTTTTTGCTATTTATGTTCCATTTTTTTTTCAAATTTTTAAGTTTCTTTCAACACCTATTTAGCTTTAAGTAAAAAATCTTTATCAACACTATTTCAAAGTTTTATTTATTTATTTGAATATAAATATAATTGGAATTGTGATGAAGATAGTTATTTTCTTATGTGAAATTAGTGTTCATTTGTATATTCTTATTACTGATTATTTTTTAGATATAGATGTTTCAATGTTTTAATAAAATAGCAAATATTAGATTATAATTAGAAAATAACAATAATTATTATAACATTACAGCATTATTATAAATAAGTTATATAATATTACCTGTCATCATTTCAGTCATTAATTATTTTTCTAAAGTGATACTAATATTGATTTATTACAGTTAGGATCAAATTTAATATCTTTGGCTATCAACTATTCTTTTATTTGATCCATTTTCATGTATTTGGATTTTTTTTATAATTCAATAAATTTAGTAATTATGTTCAAAATTGTGATAAAACCCATGAAAAAATTTACCTTCTGAAAAAATAATTGGCACAGTCCAAGATGATTGAGGTATAGAAAACGTTAAAGTTTGTGAATTAGGTTTTTCTATAGTAGTTGTGAAAGATTGTATTATTTGTGTTAGAGAATAATTGACA